TCTAAAACACAAAGGCTTCTCGAGGAATTAGGTTTGCAAAAAAATGGAGGCATATACCACAGTCGTTCACAGATACCTAGAACAGATGTCATGTGCACACACGTGTGTGTGTGTGTGTGCATATATATATGCATATAGGGAGAGAGAGAGAGAGAGAGAGAGAGAGAGAGAGAGAGAGAGAGAGAGAGAGAGAGAGAGAGAGAGAGAGAGAGAGAGGTGGTGAACTCACAGGGGGAGGCGTCATTTTGGAGACTTCTAAGTAGTGATCTTTGAGGGAGCGGAGCAATATAGAGTTCACGGCGGAGGCCGCGCCGCCGTTGGCTTGAGTGGCCGTAGACTGACTTGCTAACATGCGCAACGGGTGGCCCGATGCGCACCCTGCAATCACTCTTCTCCAAAACATACCCAAAACTGGGATTCTGTTATGCAAGCTTTGATTTTTCCCTACGTAAAGATTTAGGGTTTGAAATGCTCTGAAATTCCAAGTGATGAACGGGCAACTGATTCTAGCAGTGCTTGTTGCTGAGCAGAATGCAGTAAAAATAAAATATCCGAGCGCAAATATTTCTTTTCTGTTTATCCGAGTAATTTATTTTTTTACTTTAAACAATTAAACATTTAATATTGTAAATTGCATAAGCTACCTACTAATTTAAAAAATACGTTTTAGTGAATTTAAATTATAGAAGTATTTTTCATATTTTGTTTTACTATAAAGCAGTTAATTAATATTATATTAAAAATTTTAATAATGTAAAATTAGTCATTTTGATAATTATAAAACAATATTGTGTTATCTGATATATCTTAAAATTCTTAATTTGTAATGATTAATTAATAAAATATTAACTAAAAATATATTTGTGATAAAAATTAGATTTTTTTTTTTTTGTAATTTACTTAAGTTATAGATTTTGTTCAAGTTAATTAAAAAAATATTTTTAAAAATAAATTATAGAAAACATTTTAATAATTATAAAAAATAGTCTCAAATTTCATTTTTTATTTATTTCTCTCCAAATTGAAGCATTTTTTTAACCGAATAAAACATCCCTCCACGTTTTTATCATTTTTTTCCTCTCACAAACACACGCGAGCGAAGACTCGGAAAGGGCCCCTAGGCCCATAAGAGTTGAGCTCTGTAGGCTGGTTTAGTAATTTTTTATTAACGAGAGGGGTATTTTGGTAAACATATATCATCCTTCATTTAATTGTTTTACTGCCCTATCTTTTCTGTTTTTAAATAATTATTATCATTTTCCCGTCTTTTCTTCTTCTTCATCTGCTTCTCATGGCGTCTGCCCAGCCCCCTCACGGTTTCCTCTATCTTAACCACTACGGTATAATCGATTGCATCACCGTATAATATACTCCAGTTGCTTCACGAATTTGAGAGAGGAGAGTGATGGATTTTGTCTTTGTGAACTGATGCAGGACAAGGCGGCGGTGGAACAAGATCTTACTATCAAGGAGAGTCAATAGAGTCTTCAGAGAATCAGGTCAAAAAGGAAAATAAAACTCAGCCACAGGAGCAAGACATGGAAATCGGATACGAAGATAATCCATTGTTGCAGACATTTGAAGGTCTTGACAAAAAATTCCTTAATGAAATTATGAAACTCGTCAAAGAACAGACTGATGCAGAGGATGCAGAGAATGTTAGGCACAGGGAGGTCAGCATACATGAAATTTCTCCTTGCTTATGTCCTTTATGTTGAAAATAACAATATTTGAATATTTCCTCCTTGCTCAATCTAGTTAGGTCTATTTTGAAGCAAGAGAAATTTCATATATATAATAAGTAATAAGAATCAAACTTTTATTGGGAACAGTCTTTCTCATTATTCAGATTTGCGAGAGTTACGAATACATCAATTATTGGAGTAGAAAGAAACGCATCAGATGCTTGGCATTATGCACATGTTCATGGTGTCCAGAATATGTAACAGAATTTCTCTTGCAATGCAATTGAAACAAGCAAAAAGGATGTCACCTTACAGCGTTTAATCGTTTTAGCACGTTGAAATGGGAGGAAATTTCTCATATAGTCTTTTCCCATATGACCAGTTTTTAACGTAGTTAAGTTCCTTTATATATTCTTTCCCATTCTTTTCATAGGTTTCTCTATATTGATTTTCAGCTGAATATTTAAAGTAATACAATATTATGTTTGTCTATTCCTCTTGATGGTATTGTAGCCAGAGATTTACTAGAATCTTGTTGTCCCGTTTATGTTAAATAAGTTTAAAAACAAGGAATAATGGTTTGCAGGTGAAAGAGCATATTAGAATATCAGTAATGAAGTTAGGACCTTTTCTTATCGGCTTAAGTTGTTGGATAATTGGTGACTCCAACACATGGTGTTATGTTATTAGGTCTGGTTGATTCGAAGAATTTTTATTAGTTGCCATCTGGTCATATCCATCCGTGTAAAATGAAAAAGGAAAAGATAAACTTTCCTGTTATCAATTATGTCTTTTTAGAGGAAGAGTTTCCTCCTATGATTAAACAACTCAGATCATTGGAAACCTTGCTATCATATAAAGGTTTAGACAACAATGGAAGAAGTTCATGGCTTTCAACTAGAGCTTATGCTCAGCCTGAGGAGAATGAGAATTTTGATTCCTCATCTTCCTTACAGCAATACTTTTGCTACCAAAGTGAGCACCACTAGTCTTCCAGAAAGGAAAGGTCCTTCCGTTTTTTTCTTCCGCTATAATATTTTATTTCCTTCACTCCCTAGTTGTCTTTTCGTTTTTCAGTCTCTCTCTTCAGAAAAGATCTTTAGTAGAGAAAGTGACACATAGTGCATTACTTTGAAGTATTTTTCATCTGTTTTTGAACTCGTTTGTCTTCATTGCCAGTTGATTTGGTTTCACTGAGGATCCTTTGCTGCTTGTTGTCTCAGTCCGTTAATTGTCATTGCATGATCTCATATGTTCGCAGAGTGTCTTTTGGCAATCCATTCTCCTCTCATAATGTCCTCATCTTGGTTACAGGGCACATATAACTTCTGGTCATTCAATTTAATAGTTTTTGAGATGCTTTGTTATGGTGGTCTATGCATT